TGCAAAAATCGTTGGACCATGTAGTCTATTTGTGGTTATTGGAATACTTACAAAAGTGATCCTCTGTCATGCTGTAGCGGACCAACTTGTGTCTCTGCACCAGCTTATTGTTATAACCCGATATTGGTATACCCGATCACTGCTCGTGTTTTACCGAAATGTGATTGAAGTTGAGCGTTTGAAAGCACATTTGCATGTCTGGCTGTAGCTGAACGTGCAGAGATGTTCGCTGTTAGTTGTTAGCACCCAGCATGTTCGGGTTCGAATGCCGTCAGAGGCAACATGTAATTTTTAATTTTTGTTTTCGGTTTTTATTAATTTCGAAAAAGCATCTGAGAAGTGAAGAACAAAAGCGAAAAAATATAACAACAATGCCATTGCTAATATGTTGGGAGTAGTTTTGTGCTACTCTGATCAAATACAGAGATGGAGTAGGACATCGCAACGTTAATTGGACCATATTTTTTATATGAATTGTGGTTAACTTTGAAGTACTCCTTGGTCCTTAGGGAGTACACTTTGCACGCATGCATGGAGTCGTCGCGATTTTTGCAGGGTAATCGCGCCCTGTGATAGTTGATTCAAACTCAACATTTGAAAACACATTTCCATGTATACACATTTACATGTGTAGCTGATTGTGCAAAGACGCTTGATACAATTTTTTCTAAATTCTAAGATATGTTTCCCTCAGTGTACATGAATTGCTGGAACGCGTAGCGATCTACAGTGAACCATACTTTAAATGGCAAGCGTTTATGCATATTGCAAGTGTGTCCAATGAATCACAATCACTTTTTTTCATTTTGAAAGCTAAGAAAACATTCATAAAAACAGCTGTTCGAAAAATTTTTTAACGAAGATCGTTTTTATACGGACATTAAGAGGCTCTAACTCGCATTTCAAATGCGAGTTGCGGCGACAAGCTAAAATGTCTCGATGCGTGAGTTTGCGTTTATACGTCCGTATCGAACGTCCGTATAGCAACAAGAATTAACAAGGCGAACTTAGCACAGTGCGTAGGCAACTGGCTGAGTCAGTGGGATCGTCGGTGCGAATCCTACTGAAAGAAATCTGATGAGGAAATGTGTATTTCCGAAATAGCTATCACTTCTACCATTTTTTCAAATTATTGTTGCTTTTCCACAATAAGTTTTCATTAAAAAAACGGCCTCAAGCTCAATAAAAAGTGTTGAATATAATTGTTATAAGGCCACTAAAATAGCAAAAACAAATTACTTTATTTAATTTATTTTGTATTGTTATTTTATTTCATATTATTTATTTAATCCGCGTTACTGCCGTCTGTCAGGGTACAATTTTGATCAGACCAACCGCGCCGTTAATCCCCATAACGTTGCCTGCCGTCTGTCTATGCTATAAGAGATAAATGATAAGGGCGTATATTTTGCTCGTTTACCGCTTTCGTCGCTTAGGTAGGTTAGCTTAGCTCCAAGTTTGTCTTCAACTTACTCAGAAGTTTCACACCAAATTTGAAAAGGACTTTAATACTTTATAGAAGGTATCTATGTACATCTACATAGTAAAAATATGATTTTTTTTATGTGGGGCTTACGACTTTTTTACTAATTAGACTGTGAAGAAAGGAAAAATTGGCATGACTTGAAAACGTTTAAGTGAGTATTTGTAATAATAGCTTAATCCAAGGTAAAATTAATGTAGTCAATACTTACGAAACGAGATGAATTATCATTTTTTACAGTCTTGGCATTTCCGAAAGCTTCCAAAATAGGATTCGCTTGCAAAAGTTGTTGTTCCAATTCGCCCTATATAAAAAAAAATTATGTTATGTTACTAAAAAAGCATGTTAATAATTTTAAATTAAAATAAACATGTACATACATATGTACGTACATACATACATACTGCATATGTAGGTATACATATGCATAATACATACCTATGTACATAACAAACAATAGTTCTGAAACATCGCATATTAGTTAAAAATTAACTAACTCAACTAATGACCAGAAGATAAACATAGGCTGGAATCATGCATTTTAAAATCATCTATGTATGTGCAATTGATGTGTATATACAAATGATTATCAGAAACAATTTGAATGATATAGCCAAAGTAAACATAAAAACAAGCAAGTTTAAAAAATGTTTTGATCCATGATACATTATCATACTTTTCTTCTCGCAATTTCGCTATGAATTGTGTTTCAAAGAAATCACACATACATGTCAGTATGGCTGTTTGTATGTATGTAAGGGTGATACATCTAGACCTTTGTTTTTTTAATTTTAAATAAAACACTTAAAACAGAACTGGATATCTGAATCTTTATTATTATCCGAAAGAACAATATCTGACATTTACTTTTTAAAAATAATTACATTCAAATGTTGGACGCAGACGGAACATGACCGTCAATGGCGATCGCTACCGCACCATGATACCCCACTTTTTTTATACAAGGGTATAGATGGATCACCCTTTACATACATTACATAAGTACACATTACTATTCTGATACCACATTTGTACATGTACATACACATTTTGAATCATTTCAAAAACTACCAATGCTACTTGAGTAAGTAGTCTACTTGCAACAATACAGGAATTAAACAATAGCAACTACTCCTTCATACCTATGTACAATATTTACGGAAATACCTTCATTATCATACACCGGCATCCTGCATTTTCGCTCATTTTATTCAATATCATTTTGACTTTCATTCTTAACACAAACAGAATCTGACACGCCATGGACATTACACTTGATTTTAAGAGTTTTCTTCATATTTACTTGTAAGTTCTGGAAAATTCGAATTACTATTTTTAATTGCATATGTACTGTATTTTTCCAACAACAAGGGATAACTAAAACAAACATAGAGTACATAAGAAACCTGTGAAGAAAGCCTGAGAATCAAATACAAAAGTTCAACTAGTCTATGTAACTTCTCAAAAATACATATTTTTGAAGGATTCAGGTGCTAAGTAAACTAAAAAGTGCTAACATGATCGATTCAATTGCGTTTGTATGTGGTGGACTTATCAAATCATACTCTAAGTGACAAATAACAAAAGTTTCGGCTGAAGTGAGCTTCTCAAGAATTTCGGCACTTACGTTTGAAGCAGTAACTTCAAAATTGAACGAGAATTTATTCGGAACCTGTGAAAAATTATTTTTAATTTGCGGAATTAGAGATTAACGCATGTCACTGTCTGTTAGCAGCTATGGCTTTAAAGTACTTCAAAGACTCTGTTTACCTGGGTTCGAGAATTCAGACCAAGATGGGGATAAAAACTATTTTGCGTAGAAATATTATAGAATGGTTTTCCGTTCGAAAAATATCGATTTTCAGGAATTCTATACCATTTCTACGAAAAATTGTTGTTTCCCACATAAAATATGTACATTGAAAACTTTGAGAGCTTAGAGCGACCCCTAAATATTTTTTCATTTCAAAATAAAAAAAAACAAGGTTATATTTTTTCGGTGTAGAACAATACTAGGTGTCACTGAAATAGTGGATTTCTGCACTGAATTCTACTTTTCAGTGATCAAAACTCAGAATTTATTATTTCCAGTAATAACACCGCAGTAAATTTTACACACAAAAAATTTAATATATTCCCGAAACTATAGGTAAATTACATAAAACTCAGAGACCCAGAATAAAAACTATATCATGGTGGAGTTTTAAAAAAGTCATCAAAATTTCCGTAAGAATTATAAAAGTCTTTTAATAATAATTATGTGTGAGAAGATTTTTTTTAAAGTCATCGATAACTATTATTTTAAGACTTATATAATATAAGTATTTTCATAATAATTATCAACGAGATAAATATTTTTAACTCTTCAAAGACTTTTTTTTGAGACTTGTATTATTAAACTCTTGTCATCATAATTATCATTGAGATAAATATTTAAGTCTTCAAAGACTTTTATTTTGAGACTTATATTATAAAAGTCTATTCATAATAATTATGAGTGGGAAACATTTTTTTAAGTGTTAACTCCTGCGCGACTACTGGGACAATATGTCACAGCTTCGTTTAAAATCATTTATTCGTTTTATTACTTATGAAATATTCTATCTGAATTGTCCCAATACAAGTTCTGGGTTTTATTTATGAAAAAAAAAAAAAAGCCCCAACATATTTAATATGTCAATATGGTACCACTGGTCAAGTTTGCGAGCACAAGTTTAGAAATTTCAGATATTCTCAAATTCTGTTTGCATTTCATTAAATTCGGTCCTAAAATATCAGAAAGGTGAGTTTCATATAATTTTTGTACTTTTGGGATATATTGTCCCAGTTTGTGTTTTACGTGGGTCTTATTTGTACCAATATGTGTTTTCCCATATGTCGAAGAAAACATACCCGGCGGAAGAGGTGGCCAGATGTACTGTATGAAAGCTCTGGTTATGAAGATTTTAGCCCATCTGAGAGCAGCTACGAGCCATCGCTCGACGCTGAAAACATAAGGCTAAATAAAGCCACTACAGCAGAAGATGAAAACAGTATTTCCTATTCTGAATCTGACGACGAAGAAGAAGCTGCCGATAACATAAATGTTCATAGGGATGAGGAAGAATAGTCATGCGAATATGACATGAATGAACCACCTGTCGTTGCCCCCTGGACTAACCTCACAGAAGACGTAAACTTCGATCCCAAGTTTCGAATGCCTCTAAAAAGGGATCCCCAAGTTTTAGTAATTTATCCTTGAGGTCCTACCGAGTTCACTGTTTATAAACGTACGATTTGAATGTATACACTGGTACACGCTGGATGATTCCAAGGAAGTATTTACTGCTGTGTCTCATTGTCACAAGCCGATAATAGAGGTGTGGACAGAAAACAGAAGAACGGTAGAAAGAAAAAAGTTGCCTACGCCTTAGCTATTATGGACTATAATCGTATAATGGGCGGTGTAGACTTGGCCGATCAGAAATCAGCGGCGTACGATATCAATCAAAAATCTCAAGAAATGTTGGAAAAAAATAGTTTTAAAAGTGTTGTTGCTTGTAACTGTTTATGCTTGGATTGTACATAACTGAAGCAACCAATTAAAAAATGTTTAAGACTCGTACGACCGGGGGACGACCATCTATCGTACGACTCTTATATAGACGCATTACCAATTTTACTCCCCACCAAAGTGAATACTTTTTCAGCAAAAAAAAAAAAAATAAGTTCAAATAAATAATAAAAAAGGCTAAGGGCCGTTTTCTCATCTAACCTTTAGATTACCGGCCACTTTATAGTATCGATATACGAGTTTTCGTTTTCTCATCAGCGCATTAATTTCTCGAATCGATAAATTGTTGCTCATCCGATGCAACCTTTAAAAATTTGTACCCAACTTTAAATTTTGGTTTGGTTTTGGTTCATGAGTCCAGATATATTAGATATTTCAACCAAGGTTTTGATTTTTGCTAACAGTTGCTCTTGCTCTATACTTACATAGCCAACCTCTAAAATTTTATGACGAATGTAGTGAAGTTTCATTCTCAGAAATGTAGTGAAGTTTCACTCTACGGAATAACAAACTTATTTTTATCGGTAAGATAAGAAAACGAAAACACTTTAAAGTGAGGAACAATTTATCTTCCCTGTTAGTAAAGGCAACTTTACTGCTTACATTAGAAAACGGCCCTAAAAGAAGGTCTATTTAATTGTTATGTTCAAACATCTAATTGGGATAATGACAGGACTTAATGATTTTTGAAATATGCAGAACGTATTTTTTTAAACATTATTTTCACATTTGGGAAAAAGACGTCAAAAAAGTACTGGCAGAGCGAAAAAAAAACTCCGTCGCGAAAGGGTTAAAGGACGAGGCTTGTGCAGGACCATTTCGAGATTAGTTCGTGACCACTTCGGGACTAGTTGGGGACAAGTTCCGAAACAGTTTGAAACTTGTTGGGGAGTAGTTTGGGACCAGTTGGGGCTTATTTAAGGCCCCAAACTTGGCCCCGGCTAATACCGAAATGGTCCTGAACAAGCCCTGTCTCTTAAGACTTACACTCACAATTAGTATGAACAACTTTTATAATATAAGTCTCAAAATAAAAGCCTCTGAAGACTTAAAAATATTTATCTCAATGATAATTATTATGAAAAAACTTGTATAATATAAGTCTTTAAAGAAAAGTCTTTGAAGCTTAAAAATATTTATCTTTCTGATAATTATTATGAAAGGACTTTTTAATATAAGTCCTTGAATAATAATTATAGATTACTCGAACAATTCTTATCCTAATATAATAATTATTGATTGACTTTTATTCTCTTCTCTTAAAATAGTTATGTCTCTGATAAAACTGCGTACTTAGTTTTTCTCTCTGACATCAGGATTTTTTTAATGGACTTTGAAATAAAAAAATATGATTATTTCGAACATTTATTTTAAAAATTCAGTGCAATGTAATAACAATAAGGGTATCATATAAAAGAAAAAATTCTGTAGAATTATATTTTTTGGTGCATAAGGACGAGTGGGTAAATATCCGTGAAAATTTGCAATGTTTATTTTTTTTTTTAATTATTGGTTGAGGACTAATATACACACGACCATGACTTTATTAACTTAAAAAGATAAAATTTATTAAAAGCGCAACTCAAAACCTATTCGCTCTTGTAAAACAAAAAAAAACTTTATTGTTTTTAAATCCTAGAGTTTTTCTCTCATTTGCTACCCATATTGTTATTCTACATACATTGCACTGATTTTTTTAAATAATTTGTTTGAATTAATCATATCAAAGTCCTTTGAAAAAAATTCTGACGTCTGAGTGAAAAAACTAAAAACGCAGTTTTACTATATTTGGCCCACAGTGTATACAGTGTGCGAAGTAATGACATTTAATTTTTCTCATATCCATATTTGACAATTGCTTGAGTTTAGTTAAAATTTTGACCTTTTTGGTCGTTCGAATTTTAAATTTTTTCGAAATCGAGAACAGAAGAGAATATTAACAGAAAAGAAATATAGAAAGCAAAACTAAACTAATAATGCCGCATACGTGTTTTTATGCAAGAGTGCGGTGACTCCGTGTTCATCGTACCGAACGACGAATTTGTAAAAAAAAAAAAAAAACAGTGGGAGCTAGCTTGTCACAAGTCTTTGCCACCAACAGCACGTATTTCTGAGAATCATTTTAAAACCTCCGACCTTTCTAGTACGAGCCTAAGGCGTAAGCGATTGCATCCGGAATCAGTTCCGTCAAAGGAATGCCCAATCTATCCAATGTGGACATAGACAGAATGTACGAAATTAAATTTTATTTAATTAAGTAATAGGAATTTATCTTTGCGATTAAAATCAATTTTGATTACAGAACAAAAATTTGTTTTTTTAAAACATGTGTTATCTGAGGGTTAATAGAAATAAACAACTAACACAAACACATCAGTTCACGTATGAATTGTCAAATATGGATATTGTCATTACTTGGCACACTGTCTACACTGTGATTTGGCACATAGTTTCTCGAGTATGTCGATTCTTTCGTGTGTTTTGCAAGTTTATTGTTTTTGTCATACGGTGTAATGAATTCTGCATTTTACTTATCACTGAATAGTGCAATTCAGTGGTAGGACAAAAATGTCCAACCCTGGTGTGAATAACTGGCGTAATTCGCAAAGGAGGGAGGCAATCGGCGATGTTTTTGTTTTTGCCTGAGCCGAAGCCGAAAAGCATTTGTAGTGTAATAAAAATAGAAATACCGAAACAAGAGTATCTTATATTATTCCTTTATTGAAAATAGTAAATCGCTCGATAGAAGATGGTTTCTTGTACATAAGTCCAGGCAAGAGAACAAAGCTTTTGACTGTCATTAAAATATATGACAGCTGCAAATAAATGGTTATTATAAATAAATATTGTTTATGAAGTTAGGGATCATGTACTTTTGAAGGACGAACCGCTCTTTTTTGTAAATTATGTAGATTATAACGAAAAACATACGATTTTTGCATTGAAAGGGTTGATTTAGAACAACCACATACACCCTGTAATTCTTTAGATAGGCCTATACAAAGATTATTAAAAAATGTATGATTTAAAGAAAAATACATAAATTTAAATTAACACTTAATAAAAAACCTGATTTCCAAAAAACGCATTGCAGGGCATCCAAAGAAGCAGACAATTCTTAACGTCGATAATGAAATAAACAATTTATTTAAGTAACGATACGACTATGTGCATAATAGAAGTAAATTACAAGAAAAAAACCGTACTAATGCAAAGATTTAACATTTTATTTAAAAGCAATAATTACTCAAGTGTGTTTGTTTGGGTACTTTACCGCAAATGTTTCTGCATTATTACTCTAAAATTTCGCAGTTGTGCAATGGTTCGAGCGCAGTTGGTTCGATCACAAAACCAGATGAAATTACAATAAAAATGTGATGAATGAAAGAATGAAGTTAGTTCAGCCGCGTATTGAAAACAGAAGTTGAATTTGTTGTTTCAAACCACAAGGGCACGCACACATACCAATGTTGAGGGCGATCAATATGCAGTTATTAAGGCATTGTGATAATTGTAGTTTCGGGCGGCAGTAGCGTTAGTAGAAGCATAGTAGCAAAAAATAGCAATAATTGTTGGATATTTATTAGAAACATGATTTGTTGTTGATTATGAACATATACATAAGTACTGTGTACACATGGTTTGATGGAAACAAAAC